TTTCGTTCTCTCTCTCGTTCTTTCCCATTCTGATTCTCTTTCTCTCTTCCTTCTCTTCCTCTCTCCCTCGTTCTCTCTCTCCCTCTCCCTTTCTCTTTCTTGTTCTCTCTCGTTCTGATTCTGTTTCTCTTTCATTCTGTGTCTCTCTTTCACTTTCCCCCTCTCCCTGTTTCTCTCTCACTCTTTCTTTCACTCCCTCGTTCTCTCTCTCATTCTGATTCTCTTTCTCTTTCATTCTGTCTCTCCCTCTTTCTCTCTCCCTTTCCCTGTCTCTTTCTCTTTCATTCTCTCTCGTTCTCTCTTTTATTCTGTCTCTCCCTTCTCTCTCTGTTTCTCTCCCTCTCCCTCTTCTTTCATTCTCCCTCGCGCTCTCTCTCATTCTTTCTGTTTCTTTCATTCTGTTTCTCTTTCACTCTCCCTCTCACCCTCTTTCTCTTTCACTCTTCCTTTCTTTCATTCTCCCTCATTTTCTCTCTCATTCTGATTCTTTTCTCTTTCATTCTGTCTCTCTCCCTCTTTCTCTCTCTCTCTTTTCTCTGCCTCTCTCTTTCATTCTCTCTGTCTTGTTCTCTCTCTCATTCTGATTCCCTTTCCCTTTCATTCTGTCTCCCCCTTCTCTTCCTCTTTCTCTCTCTCTCTCTCTCCCTTTCTTTCTCTTTCATTCTCTCTCTTGTTCTCTCTCTCATTCTGATTCTCTTTCTCTTTCATTCTGTCTCCTTTCTCTCTTTCGTTCTCTCTTTCGTTCTCTCTCTCGTTCTTTCCCATTCTGATTCTCTTTCTCTTCTCTTCCTCTCTCCCTCTCCCTTTCTCTCTCTTGTTCTCTCTCGTTCTGATTCTGTTTCTCTTTCATTCTGTGTTTCTCTTTCACTTTCCCCCCTCCCTGTTTCTCTCTCACTCTTTTTTCACTCCCTCGTTCTCTCTCTCATTCTGATTCTCTTTCATTCTGTCTCTCCCTCTTTCTCCCTCTTTTCTCTCCCTTTCCCTGTCTCTTTCTCTTTCATTCTCTCTCTCTTGTTCTCTCTTTCATTCTGTCTCTCCCTTCTCTCTGTTTCTCTCCCTCTTCTTTCATTCTCCCTCGCACTCTCTTTCTTTGTTTCTTTCATTCTGTTTCTCTCTTTCACTCTCCCTCTCACCCTCTTTCTCTTTCACTCTTCCTTTCTTTCATTCTCCCTCATTTTCTCTCTCATTCTGATTCTTTTCTCTTTCATTCTCTCTCCCTCTTTCTCTCTTTTCTCTGCTTCTCTCTTTCATTCTCTCTGTCTTGTTCTCTCTCTCATTCTGATTCCCTTTCCCTTTCATTCTGTCTCCCCCTTCTCTTCCTCTTTCTCTCTCTCTCCCTTTCTTTTGCTTTCATTCTCATTCTGATTCTGTTTCTTTTTCATTCTCTCTCTCTCCTCTCCCTTTCTCCCTCTTCCTCTTTCTTTCTCCCCCCCAAGACAGTCTCCTTCGTCTCTCTCCCATCTTCTCTCCTCTCTCATCCTTTCCAGGAGTTCTGCCTTTTCGCCGTGGTGGGCCTGGTCTCCGATTTTTTCCTCCAGATGTTCTTCTTCACCACCGTCCTGTCGATCGACATCCGTCGGATGGAGGTAAAACGGGAGGGCGGGGAGCCGACGGCGAAGATCCGTCCCTTTGGAGAGATCTAGCAAGGGATCAATGCGGTGGTCGGGGGTCGTATTGGGACTCGGTAGGGGGATCTCCGTAACGATCTCGGAAATGGTGGAGGGCCGTGGTGGCGAACCTATGGCACGGGTGCCAGAGGCGGCACTCAGAGCCCTCTCTGTGGGCACGTGCGCCGTCGCCCCCAGTCCTGGGCCTTCAGCTGGGTTTTATAAAACCTTTTCGCTTTTGGCCTCCGCCGCCGTGTGCAAAAAAAAAAAAGGTTCAATCAATCAGTCAATTTCAACTTCTCGCGGGGGAAAAAAAAGATCTTGCAAAGTTGGGATTGATGGATTGAACTTTTTAGTCCCACCCGGTCTGCCGTGAGCACCGCAGCCACGCCCACCCCATGGGCCACGCCCAGCCAATGGGCCACACCCACCTGGCACCCGACGATGCATAAGTGGGTTTGGGGTTGCAGTTTGGGCACTCGGTCTCTGAAAAGTTCGCCATCACTGGGATAGGGTTACCTGCCTAAGCAGG